TTTTATTTTTTTCCACTGAGAATTTAACCCCAGTACTTTACCTCTAAGCTACATCCTTTACCATTTTTATTTTGAGATAGGGTCTCACTAAGTTGCTGAGGCTGGTCTTGAACTTGTGATCCTCCTGTTTCAGCCTCCCAAGTGTGCCACAGTGCCTGGCTAATTTTGCCCTTTCTGAAGATTATCAAAATACTCAAGGAGCCATGTTGCTTATGACCTAATAATAATAATAAATCCATTACATTTTAAATTTTCGTATAGATTTGATTAATTATTATAGAGAATTTATATWTTCCCCACTAAGGAGGAGAGATGCAAAAAATAGCATGTTAGAACCAAGACCAAGTGTCATGAAGGAGTGTCATAAAGATCTATTTCAACAAAAATCTTAAGGAAAAAGAACAAAATGTCCACAGAACACAAATACTGAATATTTGCTAAATCAATATTTCTTAATTTCCTAAATACCCTCCATTATTGTGTATATATGGTTTGAAWGTGACTCTCAAGTTTTCAAGCTTGATCCCCAGTGTGGTGATGTTAAGGTGGTGGGACCCAGGAGATCCTTAGGTCATTTGGGATGTGCCCACAGAAGGGATTAACATACTGCTTGTGAGACCCCAGTCACTCTGGCTTCCTATTTTGCCATGTGATCTTTTTCTTCCACACATGCATGTGCTCCCTGACGATACAGACAGGGGTCCCTCACAAGAGCCAGTTCCATGCTGGTTAGAGTTTCAGCCTCCAAAACTCTGAGTTAAATAAAACTCTTCTCTTCACAAATTATCCAAACTCAGGTATTTCTTTATAGCAATGGAAAACTAATACAGGTTCATATTCATGTGTAGTTAAATAAYTTTATAATTCATTCATTGAAACCTCTCTGAGCTTAGAGAAGTCTAAGAGAGGCAGAGAGCTTAGTTCTAGTGGTTATGCAGAGGATGGCCACCAAAAGTGCTCTTCTTAGTTCAGGAATGGCTTAGGAATTTTTATATATCCATAAATCTTCTTTATATCAATCCACTTGCTCTTTACCTTCTTGATTAATGTCCATGGAAGACTTACATATATCAAGGTCTAAACATATTTGATTAGGAAATGTACTAAATAACAAATGTCCCATTAAATGGTGAAAATCCAGGTCTCTGAAATTTTACCAAAACATCCTAAAAGAGACAGCCTCTTGAGTGAAGTAAAGTCACCTATAATGCTCTTAAGTCTTCAGTTTGTTTTATTTATTGTCCAATATACAGAGCCTAGCAGACTATACCAGATAATCAATACTGATTAAATGAATGAAATCATCAGATACTCTTAATTGTACTTCTAATTGATTAATCAGTGTTTGTTAACTAAGAGCTCACTGTGTTTCTTATACTTGGAAAAATTCCTGTCCTGTTAGGAAATTATCACTCATTATTAATAATTGCTATTATGAAGTCTTTTCATTTGTTATTCAGTAGCAGAAGATGGCTTTAGGACTGATCCTCTGAGTTAAATAACAGATATTATATTTGGACACACAGTAAGTCCCAGCAACTGACATCAAAGAAAAAAAAAATGCCGAACATAATTCAGTTCAATCAAAACACCAAATATGAATATGGCTCCATGGTGTAAGCACTGTACATAAAGTCTCAACCTATAGTTTTCCAAAAATTCCACAAGTAATGTAAAATGAAAGTGTTTAAACTATTATTGCACTAGAAAAAGCCACAAGCTTTGTGTGACATTTTTCTGAAAACCTGTCTATAAGTTATTCTTTTAAAATTATCCATGTTAATTTGGGTTCTGTAAGAAACAGATGGCAAGATAGGATTTCATCTGAAAGAGTTTTATTGAAGGAGACATCTGTGAACTATAAAGAGGAAGAGTAGGCATGGTCTGACACCAGTGAAAAGGAGAGCAAAAGAATGGAGAATTGGGTGGAATTTCAGGGAATAGCAGAGTCTAAAGAAAATTCTGGGTGAGTTAATGGAGTCCTTCATCCAATGCTGCCCATTATTGGGGGTTTGGATGCAGCTTTAATAACCCTGCCATACTCATTCATTGACTGGAAAAGTAAGAACACGTGGCAGATCCCATGGAGATAGCAGCTGAGGTCTGAGTCCACTCTGCTTCCCACAGGACGATATTTGAGTGATACATTTCCCAGGGCTGTCATATCTTTGTAAGTATCAAAGTCTTCAAGTTTTTTCATTAATATTTGGTGGATACAAAGACCATAAATCATGCCACCAATTTTACCTGTACTATTTGATTACCATTATGAAACACATTATTAAGAGAGGCTAAGATTTCTATTATCTTAATATGACTTTGATTGTTTATGTATATTTGCTTTAAAAAGTATTTGAATTGTCTTTATCACATATCATGATAGTTAATATAGAATACAGCAATATTTTATTGATATTTTACAATACAAAATCATTTAACATACCAGTTTGGAATGTTAACTTAGTAAACCCTCACTAACTTGGACTAATTAGAGGTTGAATAAATTATATTTTAAAATAAATGTGGTTATTATTTGGTACCACACACAGTAATTGCAAGTAGAACAAATGTTGACTCAGAGATGACAAATGATATAAAGACAAATGACTAGTGCTAATTAGCAGACTAGTTTGTGGAGAGAATATATGTTTTAAAGTTCATTCTCTTAGCTGGGTGAGGTGGTACACATCTGTAATCCCAACTATTCAGGAGGCTGAGGCAAGAGGATAGCCAAATTCAAGGCTAGCCAGGGCAATTTAGTGTGACCCTGTCTCAACACAACAACAAAAAGAACTGGGGATGTAGCTCAGTGGTAGAGCACTTCCAGGTTAACTCCCCAGGATCACATAATACTCAGTTCAATGGTAACATGTCCCAGGGTTCAATCACAGTGTCTGTCTGTCTGTCTCTCTCCCTCGCCCCACAACACACACATAGCTTATTCTCTTAAAATCTCCCTACAATCCTCTGAARTACTATTGAACTATATAATACATATAACTCATATAACATATAAACATTCTATCTTCTACAGGATGTGCGAAATCTTTCTTCCTAAATAATTCAAGAGTAGCCTAGGGGCTGAAGGTCCAACCTCTGCAACTGAGTGAAGCCAGAGGACTAGAGAAGCAAGATGCCTTAGGGGAGTCCAGCAATTTCTGTTCTTCCTTCATTTCAGATCTGCAAATTGCACTTGACTTTTCCTGACCTAGTTATCAGAAGGCCACAGGGTAGAAGATTTTCAATCATCAAAACAGACTAAACTGGCCCATTCCATCCCCTACTTTTCTCACATTTGTCTTCTGTACCTGAAATTTGTTTCACAAACTAATATATATTTCAATTCAGTTCACCATGCAAATAATCAGTATTTTTAGCTAATAATTTTTAATGATAATAAAATTATTTGATTTTTTTATTAATGATTTTATTAATGATAATAAAAATTTTTAATGATAGTAAAACAACTTTAACCTAAATATTTCAAAATTTTCAAATATATCCCCCAGGAACTTGGAAAAATATTCATCATTTAATGATAGCTAACACTTAGGAGATATGTCCTATGAATTGTTCTGCACTATCATGGTTAATTTTGTGTCAATTTGAGTATATCATAGGTGCCCAAATTAAAGGTCATTTCTGGATGGGTCTGTAAGGGTGTTTTTGAATGAGATTGACGTTTAGTTGCTTTTGCATGTGGTTTTTTTTTTGTTGTTGTTGTTGTTTTTGTGCTAAGGATTGAACCCAGGGACTATGTGCATGGGAGGCAAGCACTCTACCAACTAACCCATATCCCCAGCCCCCTCTTACTTGTTTTTTGAGAGGAGGTCTTGTTGCCTAGGCYGGTCTTGACATATGGAATCCGCTGATTCTACTACCTCAGCCTCCTAAAATAGCTAGGATTACAGGTGTTTGCCATCACACCTAGTTTGAAGTTAACATTTGAACTAGTAGACTTAGTAAACTCCTTCCTAATGTGGCTGGGCATCGTCCAATTTGCTGAGGTTCTGAATAGGACAAAATACAGAGAAAGGAGGAATTCACCGCTTTTTTTCCTGCCTCACTGTGTAAGCTGGTACATCTTATCTCATCTTGCTCTCAGACTGGATTTAAATCAACCACTTCTCAGGCCTCTGGATTTGGACTAAAATGCACTACTGGCCTTCTTAGATTTCCAACTTGAAGGTGGCAGATCATGGAACTCCTTAGTCTCTAGAACTGCATTAGCCAATCCGTCCTAAAAGGTTGATCTGTTTTTTTTCCCTCTCTATACGTATGTATCTCCTATCGGTTCTTTTTCTCTGAAAACCCTAATACAAATGGATCCACTTATTAATCTTCCCAAATTCCAAAGAAGTTTAATAACTTATTCAAGGTTACATAGTTGGTAAGTAGTGGCTTCAGGATTTGAATCTAAGTGGCTCCAAGCTAAAGATTTTTCTGTCATTACTGTGAGTTTCTCAAACTATAATACATTATTTAATTCACATTTAAAAAGCCAATATTACCGAGTCCATGGCAGCACAGTTGATTTTAAAATTGTTTTATTTACACATACATTGTACAAGCGACTAATTAATTTAAATTGGAAAAAATGAAGTAAAGATTTATAATTATATAATTATGTTTTTATATACCCTAATAAGTTAAAGTGAATTATGAACCAATATAAAAATATCTTCCCTTTCCTAATTTATAGCAGCATATTTTCATCTAAATCCATTATATATGTATATATGTGTGTGTGTATATATATGTGCATATGTGTTTGTGTGTGTGTGTGTTTGTGTGTGTGTGTGTGTGTGTGTGTGTGTGTGTGTATTTAGTTAGTTAAACATAGTACAGAAGTTAAAATGATTTAGGTCTGGGATGTTAGCTCAGTGGTAGAGTGCCTGCCTAGTAAGTATGAGGCCCTGGGCATGATCCCCAGTTCCACCAAAAAGAAAAAAAAAAAAAGAAATTAGATGATTTAAAGGATATAAAAAAGAAAATAATCTGAAATAAGTAATTCAGATATATATATTCAAAAATGATACTGAAGTTAAAGAATGTAACTTTAAAAAATCAATACAGTGTCCTTTGAAGTTAAATATGTGACTTAAAAATCAATACAACGTCCTTTTCGTTCCCAATCTCCATATCTGGTAGGTTCTGGGCCTCTAGGTCCACCTTTTTCTTTGGTAACTGGATTAACATCATCTGGAAATTCTATGGAAAGAAAGAAGACATAAACAAAGCAGTCAATAGAGATTGGAAAAGCAATATGGTCAGTTTTGAAGATAGGGTTGACCAGGATAGACCTACTGATCAGGTTAGTACAATCTTTAAATAACTGTAAATGTAGTTTGTTCCCTGAGTTTGAGAAATTACTTTAGTATGCAATTTTGTATTCAATCAACTTTACCACCATTGGTGACTTAGAATTCTTGGAATACTTTTACTCCTCAGTTCACAAAATGGCTTTGTATGTACTGCTAGACCCAAACAAAAGCAAAGAGGTATAAAGAATAGAGTGCAAATTCACTGGACTTGGAAGATTTTGAAATAAAATTACTTTGAAGGAGTTCCCTCCTGTCTTTCCCTTGTAGTTCTGGGGACTTAACCCAGTGCCTTATACATGGTAGGCAATGCCTCTACTAATGAGCTACATCCCTACCCCCTTTTGTTTATTTTGAGATAGGGTCTTGGTAAGTTGCTCAGGTTGGCCTTGAACTTGTGATCCTTCTGCCTCAGTCTCCTGACAGGATTATAGGTGTGTGTCACCATGTGCAGTTTCTGTATATTTGCTTTCTTGATGATGTCTTTGGATGAAAAAAAAAAAGTTATTAATTTTGATAAAATTCCAATTTATTTATTTTGCTATCTATATTTTTGGTGTCATATTCATGAAATCATTGCCAAGAACAATGTCATGAAGTTCCCCCAATATTCTTTTTCAAGAGTTTTATAATTTTACCTCTTAAGTTTAGGTTTCATACATTTTGAGTTAATTTTTTTATATGGTAGGTAAAATTCAATTTCATTCATTTGTATGTGGATATTCACCTTTCCTAGCATCATTTATTGAAAAGACTGTCTTTCCCCATTGAAAAGATTTTGGCACCCTTGTCAAAAACCAACTTACCACATATGTGAGAATTTATTTTTGGGTTTTCTACTTTGTTCTTGTGTGAATTTTTTCTTTTCTTTCTTTCTTTTTTTTAAAGGACATAAATTTATTATTTTACAGTTTTGGAGGTCAGAAATCTGACATAATCTCAATCGTTAAAATCAAAATATTAGCAGAGCTGTGCTTTGTCTGAATGCTGGGGGATAACTGTCTTTTTCAGCTTCTAGAGGCTAACCACATTCATTAACTCATGGCTGCTCCATCTTTTTCTTTCTTTCTTTTTTTTTTTGAGGTGCTGGGGTCTGAACTCAAGGCCTTGCTGAGGCTAGGTAAGCGTTCTACCACTAAACTATAACCCTTAACCCTCTTCCTCCATCTTCAAAGGCAGCAGTGTACCATCTGCTAATCTCTAATTATAATGTTTCAAGGTATGGTTTGTTGTCCTCCCCCCCTGTAACAGTATTGAGAGGTTGTGAGAACTTTAAAAGATGATTAGGTTATTAAGATAATTAAAGTTCACTAATGGGAGTAATTAGTAATTTAGTTCTCTTAGAACTAGATTCATTACTTACTGTAAGAGCAAATTATTATAAAGTAAGTCTGCCCCTCATTCTTTTTCAGACATGGTTTTCTACTATGAGATGAAACAGGATTGAAAGCAGGAATCAGAAATATGATACTTTAGACAGAGCAGGGGCTTCCATTGTAACAATTCTGTTTCTTATTCCATCATGTCCAAATTCATGTACAAATTAAGCCAGAAAGCATGTGATCAATCATGTGATCCGGCGCCCAATCAACATTAGATTGAACAGGAAGGGCGTGCACAACCATTGAGTGTCTCACTTCGATTGGATGCAGAAACTCCCCTCCCTAAAAGTCATCAGCCAATAGCTTTAAAGGTCACTTTTAGCAATACCACATATATACCTGGACCACAGAAACTTTGGCAACCCTCATGTGACCCCTTCCTTGTGGGAGCTCTGCTTCCTCTCTGTTTCAAAAGTAAGTTCTGTCTCACCCTTGGATATCATTCTTTTTTTATTTTATTTTATTTTATTGGTTGTTCAAAATATTACAAAGATTGCAGAATCACATTGGTTACACATCYACATTTTTACATAATGCCATTCTTCATATATACAAGACAAAGAATCTACACCTCATTGCATCTCAGCATGAGGCCCTTGACAGAAGCTAATAGTCTTAGACTATCCAGCCTCCTTAGAACTATGAGTCAAAATACTTTTCTTTATAAATTATCCAGACTCGGGTATTCTGTTATGGCAACACAAAACAGATTAAGACAATGACACCCTTGAATCCTTTTAATGTTAAATTTTATTATTACACTGGGCCCTATATGAAGACCCTTAATTTAATCTTAAGTGATATTTTAAGGAAATATTTTCCCTCAGATTTTTCTGCTTAGTTAAAAACCACTGAAAAGAACTTAATTGCAGATTATAACTACTATTAAAAAGTCTCCATTATCTTAGTTGATTGGTCTGGTTATTAGATTGGGCTTGATAGTGTGCTATAATGTGAAATATTCCTCTGGATTAGCAAATAAGAAACGGTTTTATATTCTAGAAAAAGATCTAGACATAGCTATGAATATGTTCTTGCCTAGGATGCAGATTTACATTTATGCTGTTTAAATTAATATGTTCCACAATTCAAAGGTAAAAATAAGCACAGAATGAAATATAACAATACTGTAAAAACAGAGCTTTATGGCCAGGCGTGATGGTGCACACTTGTTACYCCAGTGACTTGGGAAGCTAAAACAGGAGGCTCAAAAGTTTAAGGCCGGGGTGCTGGGGTTGTGGCTCAGTGGTAGAGTGCTTGTCTCGAATGTGTGAGTCACTGGGTTTGAGTCTCAGCACCACATATAAATAAATGAATAAAATAAAGGTCCATCAACAGCTAAAAAAAAAAAAAAAGTTTAAGGCCAGCCTCAGCAACTTAGTGATACTCTGTCTCAAAATAAAAAGGGCTGGGGATGTAGCTCAGTGGTAAAGCCCCTGGGTTGGATCCCTAGTTCTGAAAAACTAACTAACTAAATAAATAAATAAAACAGAGTTTTATGGCATGAGCCAAATTTTACATATACTAAGTAGGGGCTGAGGATGTTGCTCAGTGGTAGAATGCCCTGGGTTCAATTTCCCAAAACAAACAAAATAATCAAATTACATCCCCTCTTCAATTCTCTTTCTTCTTAAAACTACCCTTCTCTCTCCAGCCACACTGTCACAGTGAGAACCACCACCTAAATGTGTGACCCATCTTACTTGCCATTTTGAGTAATTCAACTATAGACACCTGATTCGAGCTTTCTTTTCAGGGAATTTGCAATTAGGAGTAAGAAATTCTAATCTCAGTTGTGCTGCTCTCTTAAACTGAGTAGTTAACTAGGAGCAGTTACTTTCTGCCCAGTGGACTGAAAAGCTAGTTAAGAGACAAAAAACTATTTTAAACAGTGATGAGACAAGAGAAGAGAGGAAAATACCCTGGTTTTCATATAGTATTTAAAGTACCAAGTTTATAGTCTTTTTCTAAAGCCCAGTATTATCACTGTACTTGAATGCCTCACCCTTATCTGTACGCTGATAATCTACTGCAACTTCTGCTGTTTCAAACTTGAACAGCCAGAAAAATTTCTTAAAATTTTGCTCAAGTAGGTTTGTTACATATATCAGAGAAGATCACAACTTATATATTTAGTCATGTGAATAATGAGTTATAATCAATCAATCAATCAAATGTCAGGGGCTTAGAAACCCCTTTTTTTAAAAAAAATAGATACACTGATGGTCAATATGGTGATTTTGCTCATTGTTGAAATATGCTTTATTATTGGTAAAAAGTTATGACAATAACATATTTCATTTCTTTCATCTATCTTCTCAATAGCCACATCATGTTTTCTTGATATCTTAAAAATTAAGAGAAAAGTTTTACCACACTTACTTTTCAGTGGTTCTTTCTCTAAATGGGAATCCTCTGGTGCATCAAAACGACCTACTGGTAACTTTGGCTTCCTAAGGGGTTGTTTGACAGATTCAGACTTCCCTTCTTGAGAAGAACTCATTTTCCTCAAAGACTGACACAGAATTGGTGATCCTAGCAGAGAGGAGAAAGTAGAAAAACAGGAGCTATTCACATATTCTCCTTTTAAAATTGAATTTATTTATATATATATATATAAATTTATACATTCACCTTTATCCAAGTTCAAAAGGCACAAGAATATATAGAGTGAAAATCCTTGCCTCCAGAAGCTCTAGTTTCTGGACAGTTATTTCCTAACCTTGGAGACAAATAGTATTACTAGTTTTAAAAGAAGAGCTATAAAATACATTAATTAACCATTATCATAACTGCAGAAACTGAAGTAAAACACAGATTCCTGTCTGAAGCAATGTCAACATACCAGGAATTAGACCATTAAGAGTAAATAGTATGRAAAAAAAAGAGTAAATAGTATGAACTTACCTCAACATCTTAAAGTCCATTTATGACAAACCCAAAGCCAACATTATACTGAATGCAGAAAAACTAAAAGCATTTCATCTAAAGTCAGGAACAAGATAAGGCTGTCCACTCTCACCACTACTATTCAATACAGCCCTGGAAACAAAGCAATCAGGCAAGAAAAGGAAATTAAAGGGTTACAAATAGGAAAAAGAAGTCCTTAAACTATCTCTGTTTGCCAATGACATGATCCTATATCTAGAAGACCGAAAAAACTTCACGAAGACTTCTGGATCTTATAAATAACTACAGGAAAGTAGCAGGATACAAGATCTATACCCATAAATCAATAGTTTTCCTATACTCCAAAACTGATTCAGCTGAGGAAGAAATCAGGAAAACCACACCATTCAAAATAACCTCAAAAAAATATATAAACACACACACACACACACACACACACACACACACGGGAATTAATCTAACCAAGGACATAAAAAAATCTACAATGTAAATTACAGAGCACTAAAGAAAGAAATAGACCTTGGAAGATGGARAGACCTTCCATGTTCTTGGATAGGTAGAATCAATATTGTCAAAATGGTCACACCACCAAAAGAAATATACAGATTCAATGAAATAATCATCAAAATACCAATGCATTCTTCAGATAAATAGAAAAACAATTCTAATATTCATTTGGAAGAATAAGAGATGCAGAATAGCCAAAGCAATACTAAGCAAGAATAGTGAAGAAGGAGACATCACAATACCTGATCTGAAATTATACTACAGAGCCACAGTAAAAACAAAAGAGAACAAAACAACAACAACAACAAAAAAAAAAAAACCCAGCATGGTAATGGCATCAAAATAGATGTGGAGACCAATGGCATAGAATAGAGGACACAGAGACAAATCCACATACCTACAGTCATTTAATATTTTTTTTTAGAGAGAGAGAGAGAGAGAGAGAGAGAATTTTTAATATTTATTTTTCAGTTCTCGGCGGACACAACATCTTTGTTGGTATGTGGTGCTGAGGATCGAACCCGGGTCGCACGCATACCAGGTGAGCGAGCTACCACTTGAGCCACATCCCCAGCCCCAACAGTCATTTAATATTTGATGAAGATGCCAAAAATATATTTTGGAGAAAATACATCCCCTTAAACCAATGGTCCTGGGAAAACTGAACAGCTATATGTAGAAAAATGAAACTCTCTCTCACCCTGCAAGAAAAGGAAATTAAAAACTCAAATAAAAATGGATCAAAGATTTAGGAATTAGACCAGAAACTTTACAATTTATAGAAGAAAACATAGGGTCAATATTCCATCATATAGATGCTAGCACCAACTTCCTTAACAAGACCCCAAAAGTGCAAGAAATAAAACCAAGAATCAATAAGTGGGATGACATCAAGCTAAAAAGCTCTGTACAACAAAGAAAGTGATTAAGAGTATGAAGAGAAAGCCTACAGAATGGGAGAAAATCTTGGCCAGCTACTCCTCTGATAGGGGATTAATATTCAGGATATAAAAAAACTTAACACCAAGAAACAAATAACCCAATCAATAAATGTGCAAAAGAACTAAACAAACTTCTCAAAAGAAGAAACACAAATGGCCAACAAATATATAAAAAAAAAGTTCAACATCTCTAGCAATCAGAGAAATGCAAATCAGAATACACTAAGATTTCATCTCCAGTCAGAATGGTAATGATCAATAATACTAACAATAAATGCTGGTGAGGCAATGGAGGAAAAGATACATTTGTACATTATTGATGTGACTGCAGACTATTACAACCATTCTGGAAAACAGTACAGAGATTTCTTAAAAACCTAGAGATGGAACCACCACATGACCCAGTCATCCCACTTCTTGGTATCTTCTCAAAATATGTGATATTGGCATATTTACAGAAATATACCCACCTCAATGTTTATAGCAGCACAATTCACAATAGCTAAATTATGGAATACAACCCAGATACCCATCAGTAGATGAACGGATTAAGACTGTGATATATTTATACAATGGAACTCTATTCAATCATAAAAAAGAATGAGCAGAGGGCTTGGGTTGTGACTCAGGGGTAGAGTGCTTGCCTAGCATGGGTTCGATCCTTAGCACCACATAAAAATAAAATAAAGATATTGTGTTCACCTAAAACTAAAAAAATAAATAAATATTAAAAAAAAAAAAGAATGAGCTGGGCGTGGTAGCACATGGCTGTAATCCCAGTGGCTCAGGAGACTGACACAGGAGGATCACAAGTTCAAAGCCAGCCTCAGCAACAGCAAGGCACTAAGCAACTCAGTGAGACTCTCTCGCTAAATAAAATATAAAATAGGGCTAGAGATGTGGCTCTGTGGTTGAGTGCCCCTGAGTTCAATCCCTGGTACAAAAAAAAAAAAAAAATTAAAAAAATGAAATCATGGCATTTCCTGGTAAATGGATGGAAATGGAGAATATTATGCTAAGTGAAATAAGCCAAACTCAAAAATTCAAAGGTCAAATGTCTTCTCTCATATGTAAAACAAAGGAAAAATGGAGGGAAGAATAAGATAACATAAAGGGGAAATCATTAACATAGAAGGAGATGAAGAGGCAGAGTGGACAGAAGGGTTAAGGGGAGGCAATGCAGAATGAATTCTTTAAACATCTTGTTATACACACATATATAAATATACCACAGGGAACTTCACCTTTACGCATAGTAGAAAGAATCAATCAAATGTAAATAAACAGAGAAAAGAAGTCCACTAGAGTAGAGGAAGGAGAATAGGAGAGGGAAGGGAGCACAGAAGGGGAAAGGAGGAGGGTAAAAGGGAGGATCATGAACTGAAACTGAATTCCATGCATGTAGTGAGTTTGTCAGGATGAACCCAACAACTATGTATAACTGTAAGACTCTAATTTTAAAAATTATATATACATAAATATATATTTTGTGTGTGTATACATATATATATAGAGAGAGAGAGATGGGGTGGGGGTATATTTAAAAGCAAAAAAAGTTGTATAAATTTTTCAAAGAGAATATTTAGTATTTAAATCACTAGAGTTCACAAGGGACTGCATTTAGTTTTCTTACACTTAAATACGTATCAGGGTCCTCCTTCCCTATTAATGGAAAATTTTATAATGTATTGGGTATCTGTGATGTGTAAATGAAATCACTTTCTCTTTAAGTTTCAATGGGAAAGGTAAACTATCAGCACAATGAGTTATCCAACTCCTTTTTGAGATATGTTCTATAGGCAAAACCACTCTGAAAAAAATGATACAGGTGGGTGGTTTTCAACTTCTTGAAAAAGAATAGCTCTAGGGCATTGGGATTATGGCTCAGTGGTAGAGTGCTTGATTAGCATGTGTGAGGAACTGGGTTCAATCCTCAGCACTGCATAAAAATAAATAAAATAAAGGTACTTATTTTTTWAAAAAATAGAATAGCTCTAGAGGGAGATGGATTTGGGTACCAGTTCCAGTTATAGCACTGTGACAGGCAGAATAATAATGCCCAAAGATCATCAGAACCCAATACCCAGAACCTTTAAATAGGTACTATGGAGAAGGGAAATTCTGGTGACAAAAGAAAATTAAGGTTGCTAATCAAATGACCTCACACTAGGAAGATTATACTGGTTTATTATCTGGGTGGGTCCATGTAATTACAAAGGTTCTTAAGAACAGAAGAGAGAACTGGAAAATACAAACAGAGAGATAAGAGACTTGGCCTGATGTTGATGGCTTTGAAGATTCAGAAAGGAGGTGAGTCAGGGAACATGGGCAGCTTCTAGAAAGTAAAAAAGGGAAATAAGTGGATTTCCCTCAAAAGTCTACGGAAAGAACATGGCCCTAACTTAACTTTTGATATCAGCAACAGGTAACTAATCAACCACTTACTAATTCTGACCCTGGTTAAGTTACACTTTCTGCTTCTTCCATTATGAACAGTATCTAGCCATCACTATATAACCATATCTCTTGTTTAAATCACACACTGAGAAAAAATAAACTGAAAGATTTTAAATGTGCACACAAACAATCTGGGGAATCTTTTAAAATTCAGATTTTGAGTAGTTCTTGGCAGGAGCCTGATTCCTCCCCACCCTGAATTATTGGGGATTGAACCCAGGGGTGCTTTACCACTAAGCCTTTTTTTCTTTTGCAATTTTGAGAGAGAGTCTTGCTAAATTGCTCAGGCTGACCTCAAACTTGCAATCTTCCTGCCTCAGCCTCCTGAGTGCTGGGATTATAGGTGAGTGCCACTGTACCCAGCAACATCTGCATTTTAAATAAGTTCACAGGTGATACTCATTTATAGTATGTTCAAACAATTAAGAGGATAACTACAACCACTCATATCAATATGGGCCATTCTTAAAACATAGTGTTGGCTGGAAAAAAACAAACTATATGAAACCATTTTCATAAAAATAAAAAACATGATACACAAAGCATCACACACGAAGCTCTCTGGCAATGGAAATAGTCTATTTCTTAAACTGGAGAATGGCCTTATAGAAGTTGCTTTTGTTTCATAAATGTTTTATATATTGTGATGTATAAATGAAATCACTTTCTCTTTAAGTTTCAATGGGAAAAGGTAAACTATCAGCACARTGAGTTATCCAATCTCTTTTTGAGATAATGTTCTATAGGCAAAACCACAAATATGTGTGTGTGTGTGAGTGTGTGTGTGTGTGTGTTACGAAATACTTTGTAATTAAAACTCAAAAACTAGTGAAAAGGGATAATAAACACAAAATTTTAGTTATTATCTTGGGGTCTGGATAATGTGAGACTTTGCATGATATTCGTTTCTGAACCATTTAGGATTTTTACAACTAACAAGTAATACATTTGTGGACTGTGGTTACAGAAAAGTAAAACAAACTGCACAGAAATCAGGCCATTATACTATGCAGGCTGTCTCTTTCCAACTTACATACATAATGTCTCAGAGATGTCATAAATTAAAATTACGTTTAGCATGCTCTGTAATATATTGAGAAAGAGTCGAGGATAGAAGGCCCTCGGGATCTGCCAGCTCTAGTCTCACCCAAGACACTGGGCTGCGCAGGGACCCGCCCAGGGACACCGAGAGCTGGCTGAGTGACAAGAGAAGCTCGGCAGTCCCCTGCACGTGGAGACACAGTTTCCTCTGTCGCAATGCCTGAGTCTTCGCGACCCCTCCCTGCGACCTCGGCTTTGGGGTTGGCGCCTTACTTGCAGCTCTCCATGCGGTGGCAGTGGTGCGGCCAAGCAAGCCCACCAGCCCTGAAGCGGTCATGGCGCCGGCTCTCGAAGCGTCTGCGCAGGCGCAACAGAGGGAGGAATACGCCCCACCGAAGGGGCGGGACTTACACCGGGCGCAGCCTGCACCGGGAACCTTGCTGACAGCTAAAGGTTCCCGAGCGGCCTTTCTCACCAAGAATGACCCCAAACTACCCTGAACGCCGTCTTGATTGAAACCCCAAATCAAACTGTAATTGGTGCCTGTTATCCAACCTTCTAACTCCCTTTCCCACAACCTTTCCAGCCTCGGGTAAACACTATTACACATTCCGGTAGACTTTTTTTTTTTTTTCTTTGAAGCAAAACAGGTCTTAGTGTTGTATAATACAATAAGGTGACTACAGTTCACAAAATTGTATTGTGTTTTTGTGAACAACTAGAAGACAGGAATTTGAAGATTCCAAACACCAAGTAAGAAGATGGAAACGTTGATTACCCTGATTTGATTAGTATATATTGTATACTTGTTTTGAAATATCACACCATACAGCATAGATGTTATTATTACATGTTACTAAAATTTACTTTTAAAGTTTGAGATGAAATTGTTAACTACCCTGATTTGGACATTATGTACACTGTATACATGAATTGAGCTATCACTGTGTACTTCATAAATTTGTACAATTAAAATAATAATAAAATAAAAACATAACTGAATTTTCCCACATCATTAAATGTTTTTGAAAACAAATTTTCAAGGATTTTAAATTTTCATTTATGTGAGTTTACCACTTAAACTCTATTCCATGGCTGGGATTTCAATTTTTTGTTATTAAAAAATTCTGAGATTAAAATTTTTATATATGTAAAAAATTTAAAAGCCTTTTTATCATTTTTTTAAATACAGCCAGGCCCGGTGGCACAAACCTGTAATCTCAGCGACTCAGGAGGTTGAGGCAGGAAGATTGCAAGTTCCAGACCAGCCTCAGCAACTTAGCAAGGCCCTAAACAACTTAACCAGACCCTGTCTCATAATAAAAAAATAAAAGGTGTTAGGATGTGGCTTCCCTGGGCTATATCCCCAGTACTCTCTATCTCCCCTGAAAAAAGGAAAAAAATTCATGGCTGAAATTAGGTGAGGGACTAATTCCATTAATTTCTCTCAGTCTGAGGCAAAAGTTCTCTCAGAAGATCCTTTTATAGTATACAGAGATTGAAGACCCTTTATAGTACTCTTTGCTTCTTTTAACTCATTCTCTCTCTTATTTTAAATCTCTCCGATTTAATGAACTTCTAGCTGATTTGTTCTCATCTGTTTTCCAGATGACCTGAAAGGTGACATTTTTTAGTAAGGTGCAGAGCAAGAAACTGCATATGGTCTAGCCTACAGTGCAAGGTCTGCCAATTGACAGCAACTGCATTGGTGCTCAGAACATTTTGTGGCAGATAAGATGCTTTATTTTACTTGTAAGACTGTGGGAAGTCTTTGCAGAATCACACACAATAGAAGCCCCTAGAATTCTGGAATTTTGTATTTTTTTTTTTTTCTAAAAAGAATTCCTGGTCTTGATAGTGTCTATGTGACATCAGGTGGCTATATAATCTGATGATTCTTATGAACTGAGTTATCAGGTTCTCCTAGATAATGAGCTTTTTCACTAAGAGAAAGTGGTATATACAGAAGAGGATCAGAGCCAGAACTTAAGCAATTTGCATTAGTAGGTTGCTCACACTTCTGAAATAACATTTTTTTGGGTGGATGGGTGGTTACTGGGACTTGAACTCAGGGACATTCAACCGCTCACCCACATTCCCAGCCCTATTTTGTACTTTATTTAGAGACAGGGTTTCACTGAGTTGTTTAAGTCCTTTCTGTTGCTGAGGCTGGCTTTGAACTCATGATCCTCCAGCCTCAGTCTCCGGAGCTGCTGGGATTAAGGCATGTGCCACTGTGCCCAGCTGAAGTAACATTTTTGATGCTCAGTTTATATTTAGTGCTTAATGCTGAGTTCATATAACCAGTTGACTGAGAAAAAATATTTCAAAGTTTCATTACAAATGGCTTTGCTCAATAAATGAATCTATCAATGAGATGTTTTTAGCATTGAGAGCCCATTACCAGAGGTCCTCAATGGATAGCAGAGGGGGAAAAATGTCCTCCTAAAGAACAAAATTTAGTTTATCTTGTACACTTCTTTTTTTGGTATTGGGGATTGAATCCTGGGTTCAGCAACCACTGAGCCACATCCTCAGCCCTGTCTATTTTTTATTTTGAGACTGAGACTTACTAAGTTGCTGAGGCTAGTCTCAAACTTGACATCCACCTGTTTCAGCCTCCCAAGTTATAGGGATTACAGGCATAGCCACCTGTCTGGCTCTTATACATTTTTTTAAAATAAACATTTAAAGTTTTTTTTTTCAGTTTTTGTAGATGGACACAATACCTTTGTTTGTTTTTACTTTCATGTAGTGTCAGGAATTGAACCCAGTGCCTCACACATACTAGGCAAGTGCTTGACCTCTGAGCCACAACCCTGGCCCCTCTTATAAACTTTGATCTGAAAGGAGATATGGCTTGGGATAAAGATCTACAAACTTTCATGGGCAGTGGCTGGTTTAGTCAAAAGGTAAGGAACTGGGTATATAAGTGTTTTTCAGATAGTTCTTTGGAATAGGACTCCTCAAAGTTTCTTGAAAGCATGAGAACATTTGGATCCCACTGAATGTTAAAAAAAAAGGCTCCCATTGCAGAAGAGCATTTAATTAGAACAAACGATTATTTTATTTATTGATTTCTAACAAATTACACAAAAATTCAGAGTTTCTGGCTCTACATCTTACATGAGGTTGCAGGCAAGCTGTTACCTGGAGTTCTACTCTTATATGAAAGCACACTACTGGAGGATCAACTGCCAAGTTCACTCATGTGTTTATCAGAATGATATAGTTCCTTGTGGGTATTAGGACTGGAATCTTCTCTTAGTTCCTTGCTACATGGGCTTCTTCTCCAAATGTGATCTTACAATATGGCAGCTGACTTTCCAAAGAATGAATGGACTGAAGAGCAATAAAAATTCCTCAAAATGGAAGTGACAGTTTTCTTGTAGAGACATTCCACCACTTTTGCTGTATTTTCTAATTTAAAAAGGTGATTACAAAAGAGCTACCTACCACAATGACCCACTCTGTGGACATTTATTAACTTCTTTCCTCCCTCACAGCTGTGTTTGCTCAGTGACCCACTAACAAACCTGGCCATGGTGGCTAATGCAGAATCATGTACTTTTATCAGTCTTTCCCATGAGATAACTGATTAGTTAGCACCACTACTTACCAACTAAAGTGGACAACTTGACCCCTGATCACATATAAAGTAGATAGCTTGGGCAACAGGTCTGATTACAATGGAATCCTACTAACATGAATAAAGTAGCCATTTATTCTTATCGGAATAGAAAATTGTGCTGAGTTTGGGATTCTTTCCCTGACCTATCCACCTTTTATATATGCCATTCCATCTGTGGAATTACTGAATACCTTGTACTCTATACTGAATACAGCATCCTATACAACATTGTCTTTTACCAAAAAAACTATATTTCATCCTCTAGATGCTAGTCTTATAGAATGATGTACAGCCCTATTGTTTAGTTTTGGAATTATATGAGAATACTAATTTTGGGGTGCTGTCCTAAAGGATTTATCATATGCTACAAATAAGTTTAGTTCTTGGTGACATCTCTTCTGTTGACAGAATGAGTCCAAAAAGCAAAGAGGGATCAACACCTCACTCTTATGTCTTAATTACTGACCATTTATTTTGCTTTCCATTGTGGGGAGAGGAGATAATTTGCCATGTACCCTGAGTGTCCCAGCATATTATTGCCAAATGAGCCAAATTGCAAAGCTTATTTGTCTCCTAATACTGAGTACTAGTCACCTAAGTTGACCAAGGCAGTCGTAGCATTATTATCACTTAATTGCCTCTCTCCCTGAGGATAATCTGGCTTGCTTTTGGCTTTCTCAAAATCGGCTTGGTCTTTGTTCCTATATTCTTCTCCTGTAATGCAATCCACTATGTGTACAGCTGAACCTGGCTCTCTAAACCACACTGTGGGAACTGTGACTCTAGGAACTGATGCAAAAATGCCGACATCTGGCCATTACCTTGCTCTAATAAAGTTGTTTGTCTTTTACCCAATAGCCTCCTGTTAGCATCCAAGAAACTGTAGCAGGGTAACCTGTTAGCTTGTAAGCTTGATAAAATCTGAGAACTTTTACTGCTCTTGTCATCCATTTCCATGCTTTCAGGTTCTGTTGGTATAGCAGTTTTTATATCTAACGGAATGCTCCCACAGGGGATATGATAACATTTTCTGTAAATTTGAAGTTGGCTTAATTGCACTCTTCCTGAGTTTGAGCAACTGGCTTGCTTTTAGCTTATTCCTCTAGGAAAGGAGGACAGAAAATGTGATTTTGGTGCTAACTGTAGTGACTGGCTCTGATGACCATGGGGAAAAGGGAATAGGGAGGAGTATAACTAGAACTCAGGAGATCTTCTAGAATATCTTCTCACAATATCATATGTTGAAGCATCTTGTTGAATTGCAATTAAAAAAATATTCTTTTAGTTGTAGATAGACACACAATGTCTTTATTTTTATATGGTGCTGAGGATCAACCCCAGTGTTTCACACATGCAAGGCATGTGCTTTACCGCTGAGTTACAGCCCAAGCCCCTGAATTGCAAAATTTAAACAGACTATTATAACCACATGTAGGCAAGACCACCCATATCATAGATCCTTGGGTTATTCACTACATAAAGAAATCTGATCAACTGAGGTGCTGTTTGAACTCAATAGGATAGGTGGCAGTAGTGAGAAATCATAACCACCTAGACTCATAACCAGAGAAAACTGTTTACCATATGTGTTTTTTATCAGAGAAGTTTGAGACATGAAACATGCTACTACTCATATACTACCCTTTTTAATTCAGTTGGTATGTAATGGGGCCTCACAATTTCTATCTTTACAAATGTCTTGGGTCAGTCTCACCAGAA